TTTTTCTGTAAGGAAGCCAGATAGCAATTTTAGGCTTTGTGGATTAGTTTCTGCTGTCATTACTCAACTATGCCATTGTAGTATGAAAGCAATCATAGGCAGTATGTAAATGAATTAAGTGTGGTTGTGTTCCAATAAAAATTTATTTACAGAAAAAGGTAATTGGTCAGATTTGACCCTGGTGAGGCATTGCTTGCCAACATCTGCTCTACATTTTCCTCATTTTCATCCTACCTTACCAGAAACTTCTGTCTCTTGTTCTTGTTGTTCCTTAGGTACTTAATTTCTTAACACTGGTGTGTCCCAGGACTCGATCATTTTTCTTCTTGCTATATAATCAGTTTCTTGCTGATTTCATCCAATGTCATGATTTTATGTACTTTATATGTATCAATGGCTCCCAAATTTATGTCTCCAGCTCAGACTACTTTCTGAACTACAGATGTTATACCCAATGTCTTATTAACATCCACACTGGATATCTAACAGGTCTTTCAATCAACACATGCCCAAAACTAACTTCCTGTTCTTCTTCATGAACCTAGTCTGTTTTGACAATCACAATTAATGGCAACAATATCCTTCCATTTGCTCAGGTCAAAACCCTTGGGAATAATCATCCCTGACTCCATTGTTTTTGTCTTACCTCACATTTACCCCACTCAGTAAATCCAGAATCTTGCCACTTCCCACCACTGTCTAAGCCACCATCATCTCTTACCTAGAATAACGCAAGACTTCTAATTGGTATCTCTGCTTTCACCCTTGTTCCCAGAGTCCATTCTCAGTACAATTGCCTGAGTGGTCTCTTTAAAAACTTAAAATCAGATTATATCACTCTTCTTCCCCAAATCAGTAATCTTGAGAAAGAAGAACAAAGTAGGAGGGATCACAATACCTGATGTTAAATTATATTACAAGGTCACTATAATCAAAACAGTCTGGTACTGGCATAAGAACAGACACATAGATCAATGGAACAGAATAGAGAGCCCAGAAATAAACCCATGTCTCTCTAGTCAATTAATATTTGACACAGGGGGCAGGAGCATACAGTGCAATAAAAATAGCCTCTTCAATAAATGGTATTGGGAAAACTGGACTGGTACATGCAAAACAATGAAACTAGGCCAGCAACCTACACCATACGTCAGAATAAACTCAAACTGGATAAAAGACAATTATAAGTCATGACACCATAAAAACCCTAGAGGACAATATAGGCAGGAAAAATTCAGATATCCCACATAGCAATATTTTTACCAATACATCTCCTAGGGTAAGGGAAATAAACAAACAAAAAAATAAATGGGATCACATCAAATTAAAAAGCTCTGCACAGGTAAAGAAAACATCATCAAAATGAAAAGGGAACTGACCGTATGGGAGAACATATTTGCCAATGATACCTCGGATAAGGGTTTGATCTCCAAAATATATAAAGAACTCATATGATTCAACATCAGGAAGTCAAAGAATCCAATTAAAAAATGGGCAAAGGACCTGAATAGACATTTCTCCAAGGAGGACATACAGATGGCTCAGAGACATATGAAAAGATGCTCAACCTCACTAGCCATCAGAGATGCAAATTAAAACCACAATGAGATACCACCTCACACCAGTCAGAATGGCTACCAATAAATCAATGAACAAGTGCTGGCGAGGTTGTAGAGAAAAGGGAATCCTAGTATATTTCTGGTGGGAATGCAGACTGCTGCGGCCACTGTGGACAATAGTATGGAATTTTCTCAAAAAACTAAAAATGGAACTGCCTTTTAACCCAGTGATTCCACTGCTGGGAATATACCCTAAGAATCCTGAAACACCAATTCAAAAGAACTTATGCACCCCAATGTTCAGAGCAGCACTATTTACAATAACCAAGTGCTGGAAACAGCCTAAGTTCCCGTCAGTAAATGAATGGATCAGAAAACTGTAGTATATTTACACAATGGAATACTATGCAGCAGAAAGAAAGAATTCCTACACTCCGTGACAGCATGGATGGAACTGGAGAATATTATGGTAAGTGAAATAAGCCAGTTGGTGATAGGCAAATATCATATGACCTCACCTATAAGAGGAACCTAATGAACAAAATAAACTAGAGAACAAAACAGAACCAGAGGCATGGAAACAAAGAACAGACGGACAGTGACCAGAGGGGAGGCGGGAGGGGGATAAGGGGGGAAGGAAGGGGAAGGGACTAGGCAGGGAACACGTTTGAATGGCCCAGGACATGGACAACAGGGAGGGGAATGACTGTGGGAGCAAGGAGGGGGGCTGGGCAGAGGAAAGCAAAGGCAGAAAAACTGGAACAACTGAACAGAATAACAATAAAACATCTAATATAAAATTTAAAACAAGTTAAAAGAACAGGCCAATAAACCCTGGACTTTGATTTAAAAATATATAAAAATTGATTTTAGAGAGAGAGAAAAGGAGGAACTAAAGGAGGGGAGGAGGGGGAGAGACAGAAACAGAGAGAGACAGAGAGAGACATTGACTTGTCACTGTGATTATTTATGCACTCATTGGCGGCTTCCTATATGGAGATAGAATCCGCAACCTTGGTGTGTAGGGACGGCACTCTAACTAACTGAGCTACCCAGCCAGTGCCTGGCTCAGCATTTTATTAAAAGTAAAAACCACAGTCTTTTTAAGAGCCTGTGTAACCTGGCATTTACTCTTCACCTCTCTCTGTATTTCTATGACTTCATCTCCTATTACTCTCCCCCTAAATCACTTTGCTCCTGTCACTGGCTCTCCTCAAACGTAGCAGGCGTGAACCTGTCTCCGGATACTGTACTACAGTTTGCTCTACTTCGAAAGCTCTTCGCTTACATATGTGTGTTGCTGGACCCCTGACATCATTTGTCTTTGTTCCATGGCCACTTTCTTAATGAGCTCTTCCCTGATCATAGCATTTAAAATTATAACACTTTCTTCCTACCTTATCTCCTTCTCCTGCCTTATCTTTCTCCATATTACTTATCACTTTCTAATTTACTTTTCAATTACGATGGCCATCCCATCCTGAACAAGTCTAATTATGTTTATTGTTTGTCTCTCACTTCAAGGAATTAAGTTCCCCTGGGGTGGTGAATTCGTGAGAGACCCAAAATAGATGATGCATTTAAACTATGACAGTTTGAGAAAGATTTATGAAGGGATTATTTACAAAACTGGGTATAGGAGAATCTGCATGGGTAGTAGCAAATGAACTGTTGCTACCCCAGACCTAAGGAGTAGAGGGAAGCTCTTCCCCAACGTGGAAAGAAAAAACTGTACAGAAGTCACCTTAAGAGGAACTTTGAGGGACACTGCCAACTAGGCACCCTCTCAGGGTAGAGCCAGAAAAAGAAATACCTGCCTTCACTCTCCTCCTCCTTTTTAATCTCCGCCAGGGTCCCCCACTGGCTGAACCAACTGAAAGTCAGGGGGTACAGGAGGCACTGGGGCTGGTTCACACAGGCCAGTCTTTCTGGGGCAGGCTGAGAACAGGGTCAAGGAGGAATGAGAGGGGATCTAAAATGACAAACAGAAGATGAGGTGGACACCTTTGTTACTTTGGTTCATGGCTGCATCCTACTTGTGTCGGTTTACAATCAGGGTCTAGCTCTCCATTTAAAAATGAAGGAATGATCACTGATTCCACCTGCTACTGAGGGTGAATAAAGTAAGGACTGAGAACTGACCTCTGCACTTAATAAGTTGAAGGACAAGTAACTGGGATGAGAAGGGTTTCAGAGGAGTGACAGGGGTTAAATCTTGACTGGAGGCTGTAAGAGAGAACTGGGAGAGGAGTGGGGGCTCCTTAGAACAAAGAACAAAGAAATGGTGCTGAAGCTTGAGGGCAGGAGGGGTTTCAAGTAAGTTTTTTTTTTTTTAAAGATGGGAAATATTCCAAAATGTTGAATGCTGTTGAAAACAATCTAAACAGTCTAGTGGAAAGAGGTGAAAAACATTTGGCAGAAGAGAGGAATACTGCAGGAGCAAAGTCCTTGACAAGTTAAGAGCGTTAGACTAATGCCAATATACCTGAAGGTTGAACAAAATGGGTAAAAGATGTCAACCCCCTCTGCAGTAAAAAATCCACGTATAATTTCTGACTCCTCAAAAACTTAACTTGTCCCTTGGTACTGCAGGGGATTGGGTCTGGGTCCCACCCCCACCCCCACAGATACCAAGACCCACAATGCTTAAGTCCCCTATGTAAAATGGCATAGATCAATGCAGACAGTCAACCCTCCACAACCACAACTCCTGACCAGCCATGTATCAACAACTCCACAGGTGTTGGCCCTGGACAGGTAGCTCAGTTGGTTATAGGGTCCTGATATGCCAAGGTTGCGGGTTTGATCCCTGGTCAGGGCACATACAAGAATCAAAAAAAATGAATGCATAAATAAGCGGAACAACAAATTGATGTTTCTCTCTCTCTCTCGAAATAAATAAATAAAAATTTAAAAAGAAACCGTATAGGTATTTACTGAAAAAAATCATGTGTGACCTGTGCTGTCTTAATCTGTGTTCAAGGGTCAACTGTATTGTAACTTGGTATATGATCAAAATTGCTTTATATGTAATCAGGAGAAGGGTGGTTCATTCCATAAATGATCTGAGGCCAATTGTTTTGCCATAATAAAAGATGTAGATTCCTCCCTCATATCATAAACAAAAGTAAATTCTAGGTGGTATAAAGCCTGGAATATAAAAAGCAAAACTTCAATGTTCAAAGGAAAATGTATTAGAACATTTTTATGACTTGGGAGTAGAAAATTTCTTAAAACGATACAAAAGCAAAATTAATAAAAAAGATTTAAAAAAATGGATACATTAAAATAAACTCCCATCACGCTGTTATCATAAACAGAGTTAAAAGACGATCACATACTGGAAGAACACGTTTGCATCACAAATAACCAACACAGCATTAGTATACAGAAATGCATATACATTTAATTTTTATGTATGTATAATTTCCATATGCATAAGATGAAATATATAAGGGAGGTGAAAAGTTATATATCAAATCTTTTGACATATAATCAATTTCATAAACTACTAACTAATCTGTTTGAAAATATTAGGAAGCATTAAGCGTAGTGTCTGGTTCAATGTTAAATGTACTACATTTAAATAATCTTGATAATGTTTTGATCTCCTAAAATTATTTTTAAGTATGAAATTTGATACCCAGAATGGATATACCAATATGTTTTGCAAAAAAACAATGCATTGAGATTCTTATAAAAACTAAAAACCCTGTGTCATCATCACTGAATGGGAGAACTGATTAGAAAATGGGAAAAAACATACTGTTCATTGAGAGAAAAAGAATGGTAAAGATACTTATAAAAGAGAAACAAGAATATTAAATACAATCTTACAGTTCCTACCATTAGATGGCAGAATGCCAAGCTGCTTTGCAATACTTCCAGTCTCTTCAGGGATGGGACATGTGGCAGAACAGAGGCCATTTAAGTTTTATTGATTTAAATGAAGAGGATGCAGCCAATATATTTCATTTTCACAGTAAAGTCTAGTGTGGTCTAAGTACAGCTCATTCTACTAAAGTTATATTATATAGTTTGACTAAGGGCCACTATTTCTTTTAAAAATTAGGATTTCTTTATTCCACAGTGATTCTGGGTGATTTTGATAGATTTTATCATCTATCTTCAGAAAACTGATTAGAAAGTTGTCTTTGTAGGAACAAAGAGATACTCTCTCTATATAAAAAGAAACTGTATTATTTGTTAGCTACAAAAATCATCTCAGTGCTTTAGGAAACAAAGGCTACCTTCTCTGGAGAGCTGGCACACACTGTGATATTTCAAACAATTTAATGTGTTTGGGACGAACCATCGATTTAATCTAATAATTTTAATCTAATGGTTTCATTTCACATGGGAGGAAAACCCATCGACTTGTTAAAACACTGCATTCTCAATTATGGTAAGACCAAAATACTCATCAAAGTCAAAGAGAAGTAAAATATGATATACCTCCCCAAGTATTTATTTCACTTTATAAAGTGTGATTTTCCAATGAGAATGAAATGTCTTATCTAATGTTCTTTAGAAGGTACTTAGCTACGGCCTGCAGTTTTCAGCAATGTCCTTTTAATGTGAGATTTAATTATAAAACTATACTTTATTTCACTTATTTTCAACATGCCAGTTCAGAATATCTGCATTTCCAGGGCTTTTGTCACAGTTATACATTTTAAAATTAAAAATTAAACACTTGATTTTATCCTAGAAAATTCATTGCTTCTGAGTTGGTGCATCACAATATGGCACATTATCTATAAGGAGATCTTTCCTAGGGACCAGTTCTGAAAGAAAAACAGAAAGGGAATAATTAACATTTTTAAAATTAAAGTAAATACATTCATTTGCCCTAAAATTCACAACAACACATATAGAGTTTTAGGCAAATCTTCCAGAGATATTTTATTTCAGTTAACACCTAAGGTGGAGTCTTTGATTTTACGTGTAGACAGTAGGATTCTCATTTCAGAGTATATAAAAACATGTATGACCAGCTAAACCCTTTATCACTTATTCATTAAATATAACTAATTAAATAAATGAACAGAATTCAGCTAAAGAATATTATCAGCTGTCTGATTACAGATTACTGATAATTAAAACCATCAATTGGAAAATGTTTTTATATTACTTACTATAAAAAGAAAGACTGCTTTCTTAATTTAAAGTTTCCAAATTTTACAGAACAGTGGTTCTCAAGTGGGGGTATTTTGAGTGGTCACACCAACTGAAGAATGCTGCTGGAATTTAGGGGGCAGGAGCCAGGGATGTGTGGGATAGTCTGTGCTGTGGAGAGCTATCCTGGTCACAAGGCTATGAGTGCCCAGTTGAGAAACATAAACAACGACACAACAATAAATACTGATTTCTATGCAAGACATGCTGGAGTCAATTGAGTAAAGCTCTTAAGATATAAAATTTTGAGAAGATACATGATTTCTCCTTTTTAACTCCAAAAAAGCTGAAGTCAGGTGAACTGTCAAGTTCAAAAAAATGTTCACACCACATTCTCTGAACTTGCCTAAATTCTTCAAAAACAATGTGATCATGAAAGATTTAGAAAGACTGAGGAACTCCTCCAGATTAGGAAAGACTAAAAAAACGTAATGACTACATGCCATTTGTATAATCCGCAGTTAGGAAGTAGACCAGAGGAAAATTCTCTTTTCTGCTGCTATAAAGTACAGTTAGGACAAATGGAAAAATTTGAATAACAGAACTGTATCTATGTTACTATCTCAATTTTGATAGTTATACTGTGGTTACAGTAAAAACAAAAAAAAGTCTTTGTAAACTTAGGAAACACACACTGAAGTATTTTTAAGAAATACACCCTAAAGTATTTCTCCAGATGTAAATCCAAGTGGGCTACCATGATTTTTTTTTAAATGCTCATTTGCAGGCAAAGAGCATTATCCGCAAGAAAGTTCAGGAAAAAAAAAATGAGAAAGGCTGATGAAGCAAATGTAAAATGTCAGCCTTTGTGGAATCTGGGTAAAAGAAATTCCCATATCCTTCAACATTTCTTGATTCTTTCCTGTAAATTTGAATCATTTCAAAAAAGTTTTTAAAAAGACATCACTAAAACGAATTCAATTTAGAAGGGCATAGAAATTCTCACTTGTCAAACAAATAACTCATCTGACTAAAAATAATGCTCTTATTACCCAGATGGTATATCTGATTTACTAAAATAAAAACCAGTTAAATAACTATTATTTAACCATTGTTTGTATCTCAACTACTTCACAAAATCTTTGGAGATTTCACCAGATTATAGTTTAGGTTTTAACTTATTAAAAAAGGCAGTACATTGTTCCACTTATCAAACATATATGTGCCTATTTTATGCTGGACATTACATGAAAAAATAAAGATTGGGAGGTGAATATTAGCCTCTTCAGTAGGACATGGTGACTATAGTTCATAATACACGTTGCACATTAAAAGATGCTAAGAGAATAGGTCTTAGAGGTCCTTATTCTAAGAAAAAAATAGTAACTTTGTAGAGGGACTAAACCTAGACTTATTGTGGTGAACATTTCATAATATATATAAATATCAAATCAATATATTGTATACCTGAAACTAATATAACATTACATGTCAATGTTTTTCTTTGCCTCAAAAAAAAAAGTCGCTTCAGCTTCAGAGAGTTCACAATCTAGTAGAAAAGACAGACTGACTAACCAAAAGTCCAACAAATGAGGGTTTAAATGAGTAAGAGATTTCATTTTGTCACATATCAAGAAATACAGAGTAAGTAGTCCGAGGCTACTGCTGATGCTTAACACACTCAGGACCCAGACTTTGTTCTTCCTGTTCTGCTCTCCTTCACGCATGGTTTTGTCTTCATTGTTGCTGTCGCATCACATTTGCATTCCAGACAGGAAGAGAGAAGGAAAAGGGGCAAAAGGAGAGTGATAGTTTGGCCTAGGCCTTTTTGATAGGAAAACAATCCCCTTCCTGGAAGTAACACCTACTACACAGCTGCTTACAATGACCAGAAAGGTGTCTTGTCTGTGAAATCACTTTTTGTTTTGGCTTGGCACACTAAACCCTGAACACAATATTTCAGTTAATAAAAAGAGAGTGAACACTGGAGTGGCACAAGCAGCCCTCTCTTTTAGCTACACATGAACATGTGCCCCTCTTCCTGTCTATCGAATATACCCATTTGCTACCGACCCCTAAGGCCTGGCTCAACCAGATTCAAAGCAAGGATCTCTGGCTGATGTGCTCGCTTTTCCCTTAGGTCCAGCTGTGGCAACATGGCAGCCATCTATTAGACCACAGTAAAGAACTGGATCCAGCAACAAAGGCCTGGGAAGGGAAACACATGGCAAATCCTAAATCCTGGTGGACAGGAGGAGCAAGGCTCACTCCTGGCAAAGCAATACATTCTGTAGTCAGCCAACCTGGCAGCTACTCACCCTGTTTTCTGGGAGACCCAAAGACCCTCTCTTGTCCACTGTCCTCCAGAGCTCCTGGTTCTGCCCTCTGGGGGATCCTCCTTATCTGGAGGTAGGGATATTGGGGAAGATGCCCTTTTTTGAGTCTCTGAAGCTTTCAGAGTCCACTTCCTGTTGATATGCATTCAAGGGCACAAGGACAGGCTTGAAAGTTGAACAGCGATAGCCAGGCTTGGGGTTTCTTGGAAACACAATTCATTCAAAAACTTTATAAACTTTAAATCTGTTTTTTCTCAGGCATTGTCATATACAAGTAGCCAGACACAAACATCTTGACACAGCTTCTAAGCATGAACATGTTCATTCTTTGCTAATAGCCTCTGTTCTGCCTATCCACTAACCCTAGCTAAGGGACACTTGTTCTTTTTTTTTTTTTTTTAATTCATTTGAGAGAGAGAGAGAGAGAGAGAAATTGATTGATTTGTTGTTCCACTTACTAATGTATTCATTGGTTGATTCTTGTATGGGCCCTGATCAGAGGCTGAACCTGTAACCTTGGCATATCAGGATGACACTCTAATCCACTGAGATGTCCAGCCAGAGCTAATGGACACTTCTTCCTTCCCCTTCTTTTTATTGTTATGCTATTACAGTTGTGCCAATTTTTCCCTCTTTGTCTTCCTCTGCCTAGGGAACCCCTGCTCCCACAGTCAATCTAATGGACACTTGAAGTAATGAAAAACTATAGGCTCCACTGAGTAGGTGCATCCTGCATCTGATCTTTGTTTGGCAAATGAGAAGGCTTAGGGCATCGATCTTATTTCATGTTTGAGCCCAGAAGCCCCCTTCTTGTTTTGGCTTTAGTTTTAGTGGATAGGAGAAATTGACATTTTCAATGCTGTAAATCAGTGATTTTCAACCTTTTTCATCTCATGCAACACATAAACTAATTACGAAAAGTATGCAGCACAACAAAAAATATATTTTTTGCCAACCTGACAAAAAATATAGGTATAACTTTGATTCATTCACATGGACAGCTATGGTTGTGTTGTCTCTTGTCAGTTTTTTATTTGACAATCTAAGGGAAAAGAGGTCAGTGCCCGACTAAATAGTCAGGTTTTGCATGTTTTAAAAATTCTTGCTGCACATGGGCAGAAAATCGCTGCTCTAAATTATAGGATTCTCAATCAGTTAGACATCAGAATGTGGACAGGAGAGTGCAGCCTGGCAAAGGAAAACTTCCTTCTATCTCTTCTTTGCAGACCAACTAGCTTAATCTGCATTCATCCTCTTGATTCAATATTTTGCTGAAAGCAGGAAGAAATAATCAGCACACACTGACATTCTGATTATTTCCCCTACTGCAGTAGTCTCAGCCAGTACTTGGTCCGTGTTCCAAGAAACAGGGGGAGAGACTTACCTTACATTTCACCGCTACATGACAAGGGCCATCAGCTTGAAGCTTGTAATGGTCAGGCCTATGACAGTCATACCCCATTCCCCTATCCCTGCGCCTTCGATTCAACTAAATTCACATTTTGGGTTGTGTAATTTTCACACACTTGTGGTAGTAACTTCTATTGTTCTTAGTTAAAAGTAACAGAAGTTGACTCGGACAGATGACGCACAGAGCACTTATTAATGGGTAGTTGGTGTAACACATGGAATTGTTGTGAGGGGTTAAAAATTAGGCAGGCTTGCAGCTAAGCTACTAGGAACAATGTCCAAAGCCATGCCACAGAACTGGCCTGATGATAAAAACCACTGCTGACTATGGGGCATGAGAAGAAACTCCCATTTCTACCCCCATGGAGCACACGATGGCACACTTCAGACACTCCTTACGACATCTGCTCCTGCCGCCACACCAATGCCACATTGGGTCAGTCACTTGACTCTGCATGCTCTTCCTGCCAGCAAAACAGATTCTGTGCCAAGCCTCTTTTTTCAAGTTCATTTCTGAATATGGGTAAGTGTGCTGTACCCATGTCAAACACTCATGTTTGAGCTGCACAGGAAACTGAGGAACTGAATTTTCTAGGTTCTATCCTGGGGATTTAGAACTCCTCCCTTAGACAAAGCAAGGACATTCAAAGAGTGGTAAATAATCAGAAAGCCTGCCAAACTTCACTACTTCATCCCTTCATACAACTCATCTTATTAGGTAATCTTTGGAATCAAAAGATACCCTACAATTGAATTTTTCTGTATTCATTAATTGCTAATGCTTTAATTAGGACAAATAAATCAGTTATATATATATATGCAATATACTATTTTTCACTGTAAGTTTGTTTTATGGATTATAAAACCCCTGACTTTGCTCTATATATTATATATCAAAGTACCGTAACAATATTAATTTATTT